TAACTCCTCCTTCCCAAATATTTTATGTCTGGTTTTTGTCTGAAAGGGGTTTATGCAGGCATTAGTGTAGACATTTTATGAACAAGTGAATACTAATTCAGTCCTTTAAAAACTAAATGTTAAAAATCAGTGCTTTTAACTGCTTTTTACATCGCTTTTTGGCTTCAGCCTGGGGAATTGTGCTGAGTTTGCTTCTGTGTTGTGACATATCAAGTAAAACAAAATTTCTTCATCAAACATAATTAACATTCTTCTTTCTTAAAAATACTGTATTGGTGTTTACTGATACACACTCAACAGGTTTATAGAGGTTTTTCCTGTCATGGTTTGTTTGTTTTTTTTCCTTGTGTATTTGACTTTATAATGATTCCAAACAAGTACTATGAAAGCTATTTAAACCCTTGAGTTAGAGGGCTGTAAAAAAAGAAGTTGAACAGAGCATAACAAGTATTCTTAAGTATTGTGATTTTTATAATGCAGACAGCAGCAGTAGTAATGACCTCCATCATACAGTACCTCTATGACAAAGTAAAAAAGAAACAAAGTATTAACCTTATGGCAGAGTAAAGTATTTTAAGTGAAATAATTAAATATTTCTATAAATAATTTAGTATTTCTGAAGTGAAAATATTTGTCGCTTTACAAAAATAAAAATGTGTTTTAATAAAGGAATAGTAAAAACCTGAAGCCCTACAATCTGATTTGCCCAGTCTTACCTTGTATGAAATTAGCCAGGAGACGGCAGCATCATAAAAATAAATACAGAGTCCCATTGTCCTTCAGCAGAATTCAGTCAGCATTCTTCATTCTGTCGCTTGTGTGGAGATCTGGTGTAAGTGAAAGGGGTTAAACATTAACGGGAATGTTTTCATTTAGGGCTTCATCTGGCTTCCCGCAGTGCTTAGCATATTTATTCTGCAGTAATGCTGTTTGGCTTCAGAAATGTCCTCTGCTTCACAGTAATGAGTGAAAACTTGAGCTTCTCTAAATTGTGTTTCCACTCTTTCTCTGACAGCCTTTAAAGGACCAAAATCAGACTTTCAAGTATGTAGGGTATATTGCTGATGATTATAGATAATATTGCCTTACCTTAGAGGCTTTAACCTCTGCACTGCTAACTGAGCATGCTGGCTGATGAGAACCAGGAAAGAAACAACCCTCTCCTCCTCCTCCTCCTCCCCCCAGTTCTTAACTGTTTGCCTGCTGAAACTTTCCAATTTGCAGCAAATAAATATAGCAAAGAAATGCCTCTGGTAATTTCTAGTAGTTGCAAGCTTAAACGATAAATGAAATACCTCATTCTGAAACAGAATAATACTACTTTTATAAAGATTTTTAATAAGTGAAAGACTTCTAATAAGTGAAAAGTTAGAATCTGAAATTTACTGGAATTGGGAAGGTTTGGGATTCTGGAAGCAAGAAGGCTGGTGTATTTTGGACATATTCTGATAAAAATGGCATGTTGGTCAGAAATAGAGAGAAAACCTCAAAGTAAATTAAGGCACAGCTGCAGGTGTGGCAGCTACAAAATTATCATTGACTCAAAGGGAAGGTCTGTGAATAGAGGCTTATGCTTGGACAGTGTTTTTGTAGTAGGTGCTACAACTGCCGCGTGAAAGTTTGCCTTTTGTGAATTAGTATGTAGGAGATTTCCCACTTACAGAATCATAGAATGGTTTGGGTTGGAAAGGACCTTAAGATCATCTAGTTCCAACCCCCCTGCCATGGGCAGGGACACCTCGCACTAAACCATGTCGCCCAAGGCTCTGTCCAACCTGGCCTTGAACACTGCCAGGGATGGAGCATTCACAACTTCCTTGGGCAACCCATTCCAGTGCCTCACCACCCTCACTGGGAAGAAC